TGAATCAAGTTGGATGCAGGGAGATGCTCGCGAAAGCTTTTCCTGGGCTTCAGGATCAACGCCGCGTGAATCATTAGCTCTTTCTGAGCTTGACAATCACAAGTCTTTCAGCATCCAAGAAGAAACAACAGTCTGCGCTTAATCAATTAGTGGGCTTCCAAGATGGTAGAAGTCGTGTTGTACTTGGACCTTCGTGTAGTCTCATTACGTCGTGAAATCTCGCTAGATTCGAAATCCACTTATGAAGCCAGTGTGAATTGCGCAACCTGTTAGTCTCCCTACCACTCAAGCAAACAGCAAACATCTCGAACCGCGCCCCTGATTGAACAGACAAAGCCATTGGTGGATTCCAGAGTCTTCTGGGAACCAACGCACACGGTGTTGAGCAGCCGGTGCAACGGAAAAGTTGACCCGAGCCAACAGACAGACACCGCCGTCTCCTGTTTTCCCCCTTCCACACTACTGTCGAACTAGTCAACCAGTCGTCCACTCGGCATACGACCTCACCCGAGACACACATACGCAAACCCCTCACTTCCCAAGCCATCGCCAAAAACCCGCGGAAATCTGACTCAGAAAGAGAGGATATCTGACTCACAATGCGCGTCGCAGTATTCGGCGCGACCGGCGTCCAGGGCGCCGCCCAGATCTCCGCCCTCGCCTCCGCATCTCACCACTCCATCGCCGTGACGCGGCGATCCGTGGACCCCACCACCCTCAAATCCTCCGATGCAGACGGCGATGCTGCTGACGCCGCCGCCCGCGCTGCACTTGCAGCTGCAGCGGAGACCCGCACCGCGGACTTCACCGCCGTCGAGACGCTTCCGGCCGCGCTTGCGGGCGCAGACGCTGTCTTCCTCAACCTGCCGTCCTTCCAGCCCCGCGAGCCCCTGGTCGCGGCCGCCAAGGCCATCGGTGAGGAGGCAGCGGCGCAGTCCGCGACGGTGAAGCTCGTCGTCTTCAACACGAGCTTTCCCGTCCCGGAGCGGGACGCCGGCATCGAGGCGCAGGAGACCCGCCGAGAGATGCGGCGCGTGCTGCGGGAGGCGACCAAGGGGAGTGGCGTTGCGGTGGTCTCGTTCCAGCCGGTGGTGTACTTGGATAACCTACTCGAGGGCTGGGCGTTGCCACGTTTGAGAGATGAGGGTCGAATTGTGTACTGCCACAAGCCCGACCTCGAGGTTTCCTGGATCTGCCATGATGACTTGGCAGCGCTGATGGTTGCCGCGCTGGAGCGGGATCCGAAGGAGCTTGACGGGCGGGACATACCGGTGGGCGGGCCGGAGACGGTCAGGTTGTCGCAGCTTGCGGCGAAGCTCGGCCGCGCGTGGGGCCGGGAGGTCGGGCACGAGAACCAGAGCGTGGACGACTTCGCGGGGGAGATGGCGGCGGCGTTGAAGGGCGCGCTGGAGTCGCAGGCCGGCAAGGAGGTGGAGACTGTGGTTGAGGAGACGAGGAAGGCTTACACTTGGTACAACGAGGCCGAGGAGAAGCCTTTCAAGGTCGATATGGGACCGGTCTTGAAGGAGTTTCCCGCCAAGTTGACGCCGATTGAGGATTGGGGGAAGCGCAAGGGGTGCCCTATCAAGACGAAGTGAGGATTGTGAGTGGAGGGCATGGCGGTATCAGTTGGTTCACATGGCGGCGGTCTCTTTGAGCGTTCTCGTTTTCGTTGCTTGAGGTGGTTAACGATTCTTTTGGGGTTTTTCGTTTGCGAGAGAAAAGGAAATTTTTAGGCAGTGAAAGAATACGAGTTCACTCATAAATCACAAAACAAGCCGGAACCGGTGTGCGGAGAAGTGGGGCCGGTGACGGACTTCAACTCCGAAACAACTGGATCTCACTCCTCCCACAACGCTTGCGCTGAACACAGTCCACAAAAGTTCAACAGTGCATTGGAGATGATTCTTGTCACGAAATCTTAATACTTCTGGAAAGTGTATGATTGTGCTATATCTCACGCGTGGTCGTGGATAGGCGATGCTGACAGCCAAGAAACTAATCATGTCTGCTGCATTTGTCTTACCACTTCTGCGGGGTTGCGAGCAAATCATTGGCAGTGCTTGAGGAGGGGTGAGAAAATTGGTTGCTTCTCACTCAAAATCAGGCTGTGATGTGAAGCCCATCAGTGAGCTCATTTCACGTAGAATGTATCGTCAGCTGCTTGCTTATGTACTACTTCTGACACTCTCTTTCCAACATAAGCTCGATCATTCAAATATCTGCCTGATCGGCTTTTTATCAGGTTCTGAGACTTATCAGAAATATTTCCAAAGCTTCCGATGCGACCACCAGACTACCTCACCAATATCTTGTGAATCATGAACGCTTGTCAGACATGTTCCGGATTCTTCCACATCTCAGTCTCTCCCCAGGATGAGTATCCTGCGTATGAAAGGGACTTGAATATAGACGAACGAAGAGGAATTGAACATTCGGCGCAAACCTGCGAACTATGTCGCCTGATTCTTAGCGGACTAGGGGAGTACAGAAAGTTGGACTACGACCAGGGCGCAGACCATACACTCGACCGCTGCAGCGAACAACTAAGCATAAAGACATGGACGCATTTGAGTCAATTCAAAGCTGACAATAACCGCATTACGTCGTTTGCTTGGGAGCTTCTCATCAATGGAATGAGAACCTCGGGGCTTCCGCGGTGTTACTGCTATGTGTGGGCAGACCAATGTATGTCAACTCCATTGCAATTAAGAGCCTGGCCATTTACTGACTTGGGGATTGCAAAGCTGGTTTAGCACCCTATGGTGGCTATGGGTCGAAAAGGGATGGGTCGTCATTCTTTGACGGCATCGTTGACTGGCCTCCAGATATCCATCACAGCCCAGCAGAGACTGCTAGTCTCACTCAGAGGCTGCTGAACAACTGTTTGGAGCATCATACCTCTTGTGGGCTCTCTGTCACGCAACAGGAAGAATCAGTGGAGCTGCCATCTCGACTAATATCCCTACAAATAAATGATGGGGTTCTTTCAGCCAAGCTCGTCGAAACAAAAGGCTTGAAAGGCACATACTGTGCGTTGAGTCATTGCTGGGGATCGGAAGACAAGCATCCACCGAAGACTACCCGGAAGAATATCAGCAATTATCTTGACTGTATACCATGGGATCACCTCCCGAGTACGTTTCAGGACGCCCTCAATCTTGTCACCGCGCTTGGACTCAAGTATCTCTGGGTCGACTCACTTTGTATCATACAAGACGACGAGAGAGACTGGGAACATGAGGTGATGAGAATGGCTTCGATTTATCGCAAAGCTGTTCTCGTCATCGCAGCTGCAAACTCAAAAGACTCTACAGAAGGCCTTGTGGGACCTCGACCTCAGCTTCCATCGCCGATGACTTTCCGTTGCCCCATCACGGTACACAACGGTTCCGATCAAAGCATCCAGCAAACCAACATAGTCCAGATATCAGCTGATCCAGATTTTGCAGTGCAAGGCCCTTTGAGAGAAAGAGCTTGGGCTTTTCAAGAGTGGTACCTTGGCCAGAGAAAAGTCTTTTTCACGTCAAAAGGCATCAAGTGGAAATGCAACGAAGCAGAAGTGGACGCACGTGGGCACTGCTTGGATTTAGGGCTTTATGAAACCAGCTCTTGGATTTCTTGTTTGGACCAGTACTCTGACAAGAAGTTGACGATTCCATCCGATCGCATACCATCTCTCTTAGGGATTGTGGCGGCGCTGATGGAGGAAAGGGACGACTCCTTTGCGACTGAATTTGGTGTTTGGGAACATGGTCTTGCGGAGCAGCTTCTGTGGAGACATTCGGAAACGCCACGCAATGACTTGCCCAATTTACCATCTTGGTGTTGGGCCGCCACTGGAGGATCAAAAAGTTGGGCAACAAAGCTCTATCAGGAGCTCTTCAGTACCGCTGAGGTGAATCAGAACAGCCAAATCGTCACTTTGACGAAGTCCGGCTCTTTGAATGCCTCTGGCCTGCTGATCAGGGTAAGGGCGCCATCCTTGTGTTTTCGAGAATGTTGCTTAGCAGGATTCGGGGCCTACTTTTCTTCAGAGAGTCGCATGTTGCCGGGCCACTGCGGAGTAAAAGACCGCGCAGAGAGATTCTCAATACACCATGCTGGTGGGACGCGTAGCGTACTTGGTCTTGGCGTCTTCGACAGCAGCGTACATCCTTCGGAATGCTTTTGCTTCGTCCTGACTTTCGAGAAGCGCCATGAGGAGGATCCATCGTATGTTTCGTTTCACTTCCGAGACTGAGAATATAGGAACCTGCTTCTGACCTGCTTCTCTAGCTACGACATCTCTGAACCTGGAGGCTCTGAGCCCGGGGAAAATTTGTCTACTCGGGCCGAAAACCCAGAAAGCGAATTTGAGAACGGCGATGTTGGAGACAGTCAAGGTGACGATGAAGATGTTCAAAGTACGGACGGCAGTAACTCAGCGTACCCGCAAGAAGACGAGGTGACTTTTCAGCCCTCTCATTGCATGTCTTAAGACGTTGCGGCTAATGCTGGATAGCACGTGTGTATGGATTTGAGTGAAGTCATAATGTCTTCAGGAGTCTACTGGTCGTTGCTTTTGCAACCTGTTGATGACACATTGACAAAGTTCAGGAGAGTCGGGATGGCTCTGATATGGCCACGAGGACTGACGGAAATAGGTTCCGAGGTCAAGACTTTCGAGATTATTTGATGGAAGGGGCTTGTCACAGAGATTACGGAATGAAGCTTTGGCGAAGATTATGTGTTCTTTGAACTTTTTAGTTGGGTTTCACTTTGGTTTGCGTTTCTGAATTGGATGGTCTTTGAACAGGAACCAACATTTCTGCCTGATGTTCAACTCCACGGCACAAACGAGATGTCATTTCCACTCTGCACTGGAATTCTGAGATCTTGACCAAGACTCTTGGCGTTGTAACTGGAAGCAACATAAGAATCTCTTCGTATTTCGCCGTAGCCGCGCCATGAGCAAAATCTCACACAAACATCAGACTAGTTGCAAAAGTCCTGCCACCTCAGGCGTACGTCTCGCCATCAACAAGTTTCTCCACAGGCCGCGAAGAAAAGCCCACTCGCCGGCGATCTCTGCCACCAGTATCATCCTCCGAGATGACGCCGTACTGTAAGTGACGAGCCGCGGCGTCGACCTCGTCCTGGCCAGCATGGGCAGCAGCGCTGATGACCAGGGAACACGATCCCGCGATCGGCATCCCCGGGTCCAATTTCCTAGCCGAAAGACCTAGGAGTAACAGAATCATGGCACCTCCGAGGCACAGAGACAATACAATGGGTGGCGGAGAGTACCCACATCCGGTAACAGACCGACCGGCTATCAACTCGCCGTTGTTATCATAAATCTCGAGTTGTACGAGATATATGCTGCGCGACACTGACCAGTGCATGAACGCCATGATTAACATGATGGGCACGATATAGCGGTACGGCAGCTGTAGCCAGAATGTGCTTCGCTGCTCGCCGTAAGGCCGGGTGACTCGCAGAGGCTTGCGTACCGATGCGAAGCGCGCGTACTCGTGCGCCATGACCATGCAGGTGAATACGTTGTTGTAGAAGAGGTAGACAAAACTGATGACGATCTGGGGCGTGTTTGCGAGGAGAACATTGGAGATCAGCGAGTTCCCGAGGGTAAATTCTATGGTGTTCGCCGGCGATGTGTTGAATCCCTGCATGAAGGACATGTTTGACCTCTTACTGCCGCTTCTTGCGGTGGAGTATAAATAGAGCCCCGCAAACCACACCACGAGGCATCTGTGAGTTTTCTTTGTTAAAGAGCGGTCCCAGATACATGCTTTTAGCGTGTACTTACAGGGCCATGCAAATGAACCAACGGCTGCCACTCACTGCTCGAGCCCAGCGGTGAGGTTTTCGTTTATAGGTTAAAGACATGTTTCGAGATCCTGAGATGTACGCTTTCTTCCAGGACTGCTTGCGGACTACGGATTTGGTCACCGGACCAAGGTTCGTGGTCTTGTCGTCCGGCTGCTCTAGGAATGAGCTGATGGCGTCGCCCACGGTTCCCAGTGGCTCGAATTTGCGAGAGAAGGCGGTGGTCAGGAGACAAACGACTTTGACAGCATTGAAAAGAATGACGATGGTCAGCAATGTCGTGCTGACCTGGATTTTGCAATTTCCGGGAAATTGCTCGGCGAGGCAGTAGAGAATCGGAGCGTCAAAGGAGCTCCCGCACGAGCCGAAGTTCGAGGTGTCGCGACAGACGCCCTCAATCTTCCACGAAGACGCGTGGGCCACCAAATTGTTGAAGTCGCAGTTGCTTCCCGAGTTGTCGTAGTTTCCAACATTGCCGTGGCATAGCCAATTTTCATTAGTGTCGGTGTCCTCGGCTTGGTGCGTCCATACCTGGATGATGCTGTTGTTATTGGGGACCGACGTGACCAGCAGTAGATTCTTCCAAGACGATTCATATAATGAGTTTTGATACGCTTGGATGCACTGTGAGTTGTCGAGGCGTGTAAGGCTTCCGGCTTCTGCGGAGGCCTGAATCTCTTTCAACTGCCTTACGTTGGCTGTACCTAGCCCGCTCCATGCGTGGACGCTCATGGCGAGTTCCGTGTCGTTCCATGCGGCTCCCTTGAGAAAGTCTTGTGTAACCAATGCAGCTTGATAATCGACCGATGATAGAGTTGAAAAGATCACGGAGTTGTAGCTGAAAGGAGTTAGTTCGGCCTTCATCTTAACGATTGAAACAAAAAAGCACCCCTCATACTTACACCAGGTGTAGTGGGATCGAGCTTAGAAATAGCAAAGCCCACAAACACACGCGCCAGAACGATATGTGTCCCAAATTACGCACACTTGGAACACCAATATCGAGACATTTACCCTTCATGTGTGCTCTATCAATATCTCGTCTTGAAGGTGAGGATAGCAATTGCGCACAACTGTTGCTGGCGCCAAGAAGCAGGGTGGACATGATGTTGATGGCAAGGTCGGGCCATAGTGTGTCCCTTTTCGATTCGATGCAGGAGCCTATACAAACCAAAATTATCAGCACCATGAACGAACCGTAGAATATGCAACGACTAACCTTCAAAGACGGTAGCAATCCCGTTCGAAACGCCGAAGCGATGTCGGACCCAGACAAGAACGCCCACGTTTACAGTAAGGACGAAAGAAGCGACGACAGCGCCCGCAGACACTGTTGTTCTCCATGAGTTCAACCCCCTGATCTTATGATCAACAGCGGGAGGATCGTTCTCAAATATGAGAGGTCGGACTTGGGTCGCAGGTTTCTTCGTCTCGATCGACATTATATCGGTTGTAGACGGCAATTGCATCGATTGAACGGGCGATTCGTGGCGACAGCCCGTATTTGTAGTATTGCAAGCGAGTTCAACGGCCCTCACATGCAGTATGGGAATGCAGTAAGTAGAAGCTTTGTGGCGCTTTTAAATTGCGACGCGAACATCCTTTGGTGACAGAGTTGGTCTTCCCAAGTGTTCTTTCGACGGTTTTGTTTCACTAATCTCAGCTTCCTAGACACAGGGCTTGTCAGCTGTAAGCCACATCGCTACTTCAACTGTTGGTCTGACCCTCGTCAAGCCTAGTTGAGCTCACTAAAAGTTTGCATGTTCAGCCCCGCGTTCCAATCTTGTGAGAGGCGTCAAGCTATGCCGAAAGCTGCCATATCAGCCTTCAAGGCCTGTAAGGTGTTCGTTCTGAGACCAGCCTCTAGCTTCTGCACGCATGCCATGAAAACTTGAGTTCTTCCCCTTCCACCTTCATCCGAAGCTTCTTCACAAAGCAACGCCGTGCCCGGCTTTCTCCCGAGTTCCGAGGCCATGGGTCTCCTTTGGAAGTCTCGTAAGCCATTGACCATGGACATTGTCTTCGTACGAAATTGGGAGACGCCGACCCACGGCCAACATCAAATAACTGACCACCTCACTGACATCGCAAACGGAGGCTGGAACCAGTAACCTAATTGCGTACGTTGGTGTCTTGGAGCGTCTACAGCGCAAATTAGTCGAACGACATGACAGACGGGCCCATTTCGATGACGATAACTACGTCTGCGATGAGCCAGTGAACGACGAACTTCGAGTCCCAGGGCGACACCACAGAGGATTAAAACGACTATAGCGACGGCAAATAAGAGCGTTTCCTTGCTGTGATGCGGAACAATCCAAAGGAGCGAACACTGCCCCTCCTCGCCGAGCCGTCGGCGGAGAAATATGTTCATTACGACATACGGCAGTGTGCTCGGAACCCTCGTCGTGCGTTCCGAGAGCAGCATGATTTCAGCACATTTACAGTCAATTAAATGTAAACCGTTAGTTTAAAGTTCTCGCTGCGTCATCACGGATCTATACAGCTTCAACGGTGCCGCTTTTTGCTTCGTCAGCAGCATCTCCCATTGTTGTAAGTAACCGCGCGGGAAGATCGCCCTGGATCTTGGCGTTCATCCTATTTAGCTCCACGCTCCACTTTGTCATCCGGATGCCGGTAGGGTAAGTCCCAGTCTCGTTGCGGTGTAACTTAGAGTGTGCTGGGTATTGGTAAAGTCTATCTTTGTAGCTGCTAGCTACTTGAGAGCAGTTTCTGTGATGGAAGAGCGATATAACTTACAGGAGCTTCGTTGGCTGACACAGCCAACAAGCTTTGATCATTCCAAGGATTGACGGATCTCTCTAGCAAAGGCTATTCGAGTTCTGATAGGTCGATCACGGTACAAGCAGCGAGAAGAGTCCTCGATACACGAATTTCAAAGGTAGGGCTACCACCTGAGATCCACCTCTTTCCCAAAATGCAGAGTCGACTTACACTCCGTTGCGTTGACAGCGTCCGCCCCCCCTTTTTGCCGAAATTACGCACGCATAATCCCTGTATATACATGAAAATTTGCCCAACGCCACGTAGATATTCGTAGTACGGCAATTGACCTATTCTGATGGCTTCAATTGATCTATTTCTATTGAATCTCATTATCTGAGGGCATCGTGATGCCTCCTAAACGCCGCCGCGCGGCTCGGCAGGCGGATGATGACCCTTCTGGGCATCGTCCGTCACCCATCGCCAACGGTACGCGGAAACAACGACGTATACAACAACTGGCACAGGACGCCGCCAGAGATCCTCCTCAACGCTCTGCCTCGCCGTCGATCAGGATCGTTACGCCCGCCGAGAGGGCTCGCCGGGCTGCCGCCGCCGAAGAGGCCGCCGAGGAGGCCGCCGAGGAGGTTATCGTCGCCGAGGCTGGACCCGAGACTAATGATTTGGTGGCGGCTGAGTCTACATCGCGAAGAAAGCGTGTACTTATAGCCCCTCCGTCATCACGAAGAGCTCCAAAAGCGTCCTCTCGCCAAAAAGCAACGACAACGCAGAGGAAGCGAAAGAAGGATCCGCCGCATACGATCCGGCTCCGAAGTACTCTGCCTTCGTCGATGCCACCGTTTCGACCAGACTCGACCCCAGTTAACCCAACCCCTCGTCAAACCACTCGATTTGCGGACGATACGCCTACGGCCCCTCGCCATAGCGCTGATGATACGTTTATGTCGTTCCACGATGTATTTGAAGAGGAGGACGATATGGGTAACGAGGAACCAACTCTGCTACAAATCCAGGTTACCCGTGGCCCAGCGCTCAAGGGTAACGGTTTACCTGTTCTCGATCTAACCATCGAGAGCATCGCGTATAACAGATTCAGTATTGCTCCTGTATTAGATGCGAATAGTAGAGACTGGGAGGCAGACAGCGGCGCCCAACTTGAGGCAGAAGTGGCTCACTCGTATATTGTGAAGAAGGCCAATATCGCTGTTGTCGTTGCTTGGAGGAAGCCCACCAACGCATCTAAACCAACACCAATCTTCACTCGGGTCTATCCGTCTACTGGAGGGGTCACTTGGCCAAGTATTCCATGGGTTGATATTGTCCCCTCTCTTGAACAAGCTGAAGAGAGGGGTGAAGTCCACCTCACCGTCAAGTGGCAATACAGCGCCGTACCAATCTCTGGTGGTATAGTGACTGGCGTACGAACGCCTCGAAAAGGTGGCCGAGCAGGCGTTTCAGCCGGCATGCAAGAGGCGATCGATCGTGAGGCTAACGATCCTGCAAACGTCGAGCGTCGGAAGGAGGGTATGCACAGACAACTTCTCCGTACGCACATCTGCCCAGAGTACCAGAGATGTAAGAATAGTTCGGGCGACGAGAAGTTCAACTGGTGCTATATACTAGGCCAGAAGCACTACAAGATCAAATCTCACCATATAGAGAAGTGGGCGAAGGCTATTATGACTGGACAGGCTGGCGTTGACAATATGGAACCACCTAAAGAACTGCTTGGTGAGATTCTTCACGACCAGTTTATAGAGGATCAGAAACGCCAGGGCAAGAGAAGTAAGAATATCGTGGAGGTTGATGATAACCAGGAGACGACAGTGATGACGGAAGAGAAGGCTGAAAATGCCGCACTTCCATCATCAGGGTCAAGATCTGGCCTAACCAACGCCAACAGCAACGCCATCGTCAATATATACGGCAACGCGGGGGCGCCAGATCGTCATCTTCAATATCCTAACCCATACGTACAGCTGCCGCCGCCGGCGCCGCCGCCGCCGGCATATTGGCCATATGCGAACATCTCACAGTATTCGTTGCCAACTCTTCCGCCATTGAACCTTCCAAGCACTCGTCAACCAAGTATCGCACTCCCGATTCGTTCGTCCTCGCCAGTGGTACCGGATTCGCCTCGAAAAGCTCTAGATCAAGTGGCCAGCTTCATCAAGTGGTTTATATCCGTCCGCGGCAAGCGATATAACGTCGACGAAGGGTTCAGAAAGAAGCTACAGAAACTGCGATCAGTAGACAGTAGCTTGCGGGCAATTCGCAAGTTACCAGATATTTGGTTTACTGAACAGGGTTTTACTCAAGATCTTACCGAAGATGTCAGGAACTCGATCAAATCCTTCATAGACAACAGCGCCTACTACGGAGGGCAGTCTGACGCCCTCTCCGACGTGGTATCTCACTCTGAACTTCATTCAAACCATCGAGAGTCAGAAGGAGATGTTTATACAAGAATATACGCTGGATTGCCAGGAGGGACGGCGGCGGCGCCAGTTGAAAACTCTGCGGCGCTAGTTTCAGGCGAGTTGGGGTCATCCCGACATATCGACGCCCTAGTGCCACGTCAATCCATCGAGCAAGAGATCCGTGGTACGCCAGTTGAAGTTGGTCGACGTGGTGAGTGTATATAGAGCTGTTTACTGTCGAATATGGCTAACTTTGTAGGCGTTTCGGAACTCTTTGGTTTCGTTTCGTCACCACTGCTGTCAGCGTCGCAGATGCTGCCCACGCAGTTACAGATCGAACAAGACGAAATCGAGCAAGGCGATGAGGACAATCAGATTGAAATCTCGAGTGATACGTCGTCAACAGAGACGTATTACTCGGAGGAGGATAACGAAGAAGAGTGATACAGCAAGAGTGGTGTGAAGTTTGACTGTATGCGCGATTTTTTTGCATGACGTGTTCAACCACGGAAAAGTCTACCCATAGCCGTAGATTCAACACTGCCGCTCTATACGTATAAAAGCAATAGAATTACTGTTATTTTGGATCTGCAAACAATACACTTCGGTCCATCCCGATACTGGTTAGGGGCAGTTGAAGTCTCTGACTATGGTTGAAGTCTCTGATCGTGATGACGTGTCATCATCACAAATCATCGTCACAAGCATCAACAACGCGTTTCAGCCGTTATACAGGCAAAATTGATATGTATACGTAGCTACCGACGAAAACAATGGACGACGGTATATTTTTTGTGTTCTGGTGCGCTTGTGGCTAACCTTTTGGCAATCTTGTTGGCTACAATCATGGATTTGATGATTGACCATCATATGACGACACGATTAAGATCTATTGCGCGCGAACGCACGATGAAAATTTGGATTGCTTGCTGATGTTCAATATTGGCAGCAAATCCTCCCTTTTATAGTTCGATATCGTCAAATATATGCTCTGTCCCATCAAAGTTGACGAACGAATGGCGGAAATGGCCCTCGATCTGGGGTAGACGATACCCAATCTCCATAGCGCAGTCACGTAGATATTCCATGAAATCCCGAGTGTCATTCTCATCGTTGTTCCACTTCGAATACGTCTTCCTGATGTATCGCTTTAGATCGCCGAAGTACTCTTCGATGGGGTTGAAGTCTGGTGAATACGGAGGCAGAAACTCGAGATGGACACCTGATACCCGGCATAAACCCTCGATTTCAGGTATACGATGGCAGGAGAGGTTATC